CTGAATCCATGGGAGAATGTCAGGTGGCCCCCAGGCTGGTTCAGGAATGCTTGGAGAGATGTCCTCCATAGCTCTGCATCATCAGACTTACAGACTATGCCAAATTATACCCTTATGTTTACACCGAAGGGGACTTTTCAGCCATCTTCACCAGTGTTCCCCCTCCTCAGATTCTCCCACTTCCAGCCTAGCAAGCATCCACTAGAATTCAGCCTGAAGAAAGCAATGTGAAGTGCTTCTCAAGACCAGATGGGATGGTTCAAGGAATATCTGGAGTTTAAGATTTTCCCATTGCTTTTGTTGCCTACTAATAATTACAGTTGAGGAAACTGAGGCAAATAGAGGTCAAGTGACTTGCCCAAGGTCACATGGCTAGTAAGTATCTGAGGCTGATTTAAACTCAGTTCTTCCTGACTCCAGACCCAGTGTTTTAACCACTGTGCCACCAAGCTGTTGCTTAAGAGTGGGCTAACCAGGGGCAGCTAGGTGGTACAGTGGATAGAGCACCAGCCCTGGAGTCAGGAGGACCTGAGTTCAAATCTGGCCTCAGACACTAGTTGTGTGACCCTGGCCAAGTCACTTAACCCCATTTCCCAGCCCCCCCAAAAAAAGGGAAAAAAAGGGGAAAAAAAGAGTGGGCTAACCACTTATATACTTGCCAGCTCACTTAGGCTTCAGTCAATCTGCTCTGGCTGGGCTCAGGGCTAGTTTTTCTTTGTCCACTTTTTACTGAGGCCTCCTCTGGGCCATGGACAAGATGGCTAAGACCTAGAACCTGCCTTTGGGGAGCATATATTCCATTAGGGGAAGAAGCCTACATGTCAAGGCTGTGGGAGCTCACATTAATGTAAGTTGTAATTATCATGGTGGTGGTAGATGGAGGGAGAGTTCACTATGAACTGTTGCAGTAAAGGCAGTCTTCCTGGAGAAGGTGGAGTTCCAGCTGAGTCTTGAAAAGATTTGGAAAGGAGGGGAAAGGCAGAAAAAAGACAGGAACAAAGTTGCAGAAGAAGAAATTGTGCTCTTTTCCCCTTCTCAGCTTCCTACCCCAGGTTTCCTCTCCCTCCTTGGGAGGAAAGTGGCAGAAGCACCGTGTACAGAATAGAACCCTTGACAAGGAGTCAGGAGATGGGGTCAAGTCTAAGGTTTGCCATCTACAAACCCACTGTATTATTTTGGGTGAGTAACTTCATCTCTGAGATCCTCAGCATCCTCTTCTATATAATATATGCGATCTCTGAGGATTTAGAATTCTAGGATTTCAAAGCACCTTTCTGTACCATACTCCTGTGGGTCAAAAGAAGCCCATTCTGGGTCTTCTCTCCCTCAGTTCAATCTCCAAACTTTACTGATGCTGTCTCTGGAGAGTGGTAGCTTGCCTAGTGGGAAGAGCATTTGGAAGAGCACTCAGAGGTCTGGGGTCTGAAGCTAATGGTGTGACTTTGGGCAAGCCAATTCTTCGACCTAGGCCTCAGTTTCCCATATGTGGGACTAGATAACCTCTAAGAGCCCTTCCAGCTCAAACGTTCTGTGGCTATCTCTCTCTAGGATCTAGGCTGGGAATCCAGGATAGCTTCCCTCTCTCCTTCCAGCAGAGAAGCCTCCTGGATAGTGGGGGAGGGAAAAAGAGGGTTGAAACAGGCTCTGCCCCTGAAGAAAGTTACTTTTTAAAATATTGATGAGGCTGCAAGCTGTGATCACTTGCCTCGTGGTCAAGGGGAGGGGGGGCAGGGCCTGGGGCCCCAGGGACCCCATGCCGGCTCTTCTTCCTACTGCCTGCCAGCCTGCCTGGCAACTGCTGTCCATGGTGCTGCCCAGATCCCACGTCCCCAGAACCACTGACCTAGTCTGTCTTTCCCTCCCCCAAATCATGGAGTCTCATTGAACCCTGCAGTTCCTGATCCTTCCCCTGATCCAATCCATGAGTCCCTTAAAAGAGAGGGTTCCCCCATATTCAGCTCCTCCTTGATCCCTCGGCTTCAAAGAGATCTCTTCCACATTCACTGATCCCCCTAAAGCAGGGGGGAAATCACAGCATGTTGGAACACAGAATGCAGAATGCCAGAGCTGGGAGAAACCTTAGAAATCACCCAACCTCACCCTTCCCCCATTTTATATCTGAGGATACTGATACACAGAAAAAAAAATCTACTTATCCAAGGTTAAATCACAAGTCAGCAGAGCCAGAGCTAGAACCTAAGTCTTCTGGCCCCAAGCTTAGGACTCTAAAGCATTATACTACCCCTTGCCCTGGCTTGAGTCGTGTGAAATTGGAAGGGGCAATACTAGCCTAAGCCCCTGGCCACTTAGTCTGCTATCTTTACCCACTTCCCCTTCCCACAAACCTCACCCAGGGTGACAATCAAAGGGCTCAGTTTGACCAAAAAGTCTCCTATTTCCAATGTCAGTTCCTTTGACTCCAACCGAGGTCCAGTTGTTAGGGGACAAAGAACAATGTGTGTCCTTCTCCCCTGTCTTAAGGAGAAGGGGAGGTCTCCCCTGGTCTTCCTACCTCTCTGACCAATCTTTTCCTATTTTTTGCTAACCCCTTTTTACTCCCACACTTTAAACTCAAGTAGTCCACAAGGCTCTTTGCTCTCTATATATAGTCTCTCCCTTGGCAGGCTCATTTACTTCCATGTCTTCATGCAAATAAGCCCCCAAATCTTGATTATATAAAAATAAAGAACTTTTACATAAATAACCACCTTCAGCTTTAATCTCTTCCTCTGCTTCAGATCCACAACTCTAACTACCTTCAGGACATAGTCACCTGGATGTCCTTGTCCCATACCTCAATCTCAACCTGTTCAGACTAAGCTTATTCTTTTCCTCTAAACCTGCTTCTCCTTCTGGCATTGCTATTGCCTGGCTGTGGCTCTAACCATCTACTTGAGCTCCCTTGTTTCTAACCTTGAGGTTATTTTTGACTCTTTCTTGTCTCTCACCTCTTATGTCCAATCAATCACCAGAGTTTTTAAACTCCCTAAGAGTGCTTGAAGCTGTCCTCTCCAGTCTCACTACCACCATTTTAATTCAATCCCTCATTACCACCCACCTGCACTATTCAATAGTTTTCCAACCAGTTTTACCATTTCCTTTCTGTCCCTTACCTAATATATCTGTATCTTCCTGATGATTAGAATCAGAAAATTTCAGAGTTGGAAAGAATTCCAGGGGCTCTCTGGAACAACATGAGCTTGACAAAAAATTCACAGTGCATATTTTGATCTGGAAGAGATGGTAGAAACCATCTAATCTAACTCCTTTATGTTACATATGAGGAAATGGGGGCTCCGGGAGATCAAGTGATTTTGTCATTGGTGATCCTGGGCAACTCACTTAACCTCGCTGTGCCTCGGTTTCCTAATCTGTAAAATGGAGATAATAATAGCACCTACTTCACATCGGCATTGTGGAGATCATATTTAATATACTACGTAAATGCTAGCTACTCGTGTTCAGAGCCCAAATTCAAACCTAGGCCTTGTGATCCCCAAATACAGTCCTCTGTCCACTGTGCCACGCTGCTTTCCCCACAAAGCCCTCCAGAATGTCCCCTACAAAGAATCATCAAGTCCCTTTTCCTTTCAAAAATCATTCTGTGACTCCCTATGGCCAACAGGTTAAAGTTCAAGCCTCTTTCCCTGTCACTCAAGTTCTTCCACAGCCTCATGCCCCCTGCTTTCAAGTTTTTGCTCCTCCTTTTTCCTCTATGCCTGAAATGTCTGCCTTCCCTCCATCGCATTCACTTAGTCTTGAAAGCTTAATTCAAAGGCCGCTTCCTCCAGGAAGCTTCATCCTGATTTGGGTAATGACACTCCTTCTCAGATGGCATGTAGCACTACTTAATTGTGTAACACTCTGACGCTGTTAGGTAGTCATTTGTGGCATAGTTGTCTGTTGAGGTCCCTCTGTGAGACTTGTGTATTCTGCAGGAGTAGGAAGGGAGCTTGTGTTCTCTAAAATGTGCTTACTCTCCAGCAGTGAGTCCAGGGGGCTGCCTATAGTGAGCACTTAATAACTCTTTGTTGAATTGAATAGACACACCCCTAGCTGTAGTCCCTTCATCCAGCCACGTGCTTCTACATCTCAGCCTGGAAACACCCAAAGGAGAGGTCGATCTGGGAACCTGAGGGAAACAGAAGAAGAAAGAATGAGTCTTTGGTAGTGGGAATGGGAGATACCAGATCAGTGACTTCCAGTCCAGGAGATTGGTATTGGGCTGGCTGGATGCTGTGACCCTCTTTGCCTGTCCAGCTCTGCCAGAAAGCTTTGTAGTTCTGCCTTCCTGTCCCTGGGCTCTACTAAATTAATTCCTGATTGAGTTACTACTAGTCTGGCTGTGTGATTGTGGTTGAGTTCCTTCATCTCAGTAGGCTTCAGTTTACTCTTCTGTAAATGGGAGACCAATAACATAAAGTCCTTTTGGGCAGGGTTTGTTTCATTTTTACTTAGCAAAGTGCCTTGCACATAGTAGGTGCTTAATATATGTTTGTTGAATGTCTAAGGGCCCTTCAACTTCTATACACCTATAAGATTCTGTGATCTTAGTCAAGTCATTGCACCCTCTTTGGGGCCTCACTTTCCTCTTTTATGAAAAGGTGGAAGGGTATATGGTGGTGGATAATCTCTGAGCACCTTTTCAGCTCTCTGGGTTTGAGTTTCTGTTCCAAGAAAAGAGGAGAGAATGGGATCTCAAGGAACCCCAATCCAGCTTGGGCTGTGCCCCTTACCCCCCCCCAATCCCTTCCTGGGTCGGGCTGGAGAATTGGGTCAGCATGGTTGCCATGGTGATGAGATCTGCTCCCGCCCCCGCCCCCTCCCTCCGGAAACCTTGCTATGCTCCTCCTTTGTCGTCCCCCCTCCTGCCGCCAGACTAGGCTCTGTGTGAGTGTGTGTGTATGTGTGTGTGTGCTTGCAAGCATACGTGTATGTCTGTGTGGGGGAGGGAGAGACAGAGACAGAGAGAGAGAGAGAGAGAGAGAGAGAGAGAGAGAGAGAGAGAGAGAGAGAGAGACAGGGAGAGAGAGACAGGGAGAGAGAGATGGACGCATGGGCTCAGAGCTCTGCCTGAACCTCGCCCTCAGACTGCAGTTGCCGGTAAGACATCCCAATGCCTGCAGCCATGTGTGTGTGTGTGTGTGTGTGTGTGTGTGTTGTGTGTGCTTGCCTGCCCGTGTGTCTCTCAGCTTGTCTCTGTGTGTCTTCCCGTGTGTTTGCATGCAAGCCTCTATGGCCACCTCTCTGTGAGCATCTCCCTGGGGTCCAGCCCTCTGTGGTTGCGTGTGTGAGTGTGCTTGTCATGATCCCGCTGTGTGTGCTTCTGGTTGGGGAGCTGTTGGCCTGGACTCTGGGGAGACAATCCCTTACAACCCAGGGCAGACACGTGCTCCCAGCGCCTTGCTCTATTCCTTGGCCATCTTCAGGTCTCTTAGGGCGTGTACTCAGAGTACATCTGCTGGGGTTGTGCTTGTGTGTGTATGTGTGCGTGTACCTGTCTTTCTGTGTGTGTCCCTGTGTGCATGTGTTTCACTCTGTGCTCTGTGTATACTTGTCTCTATGTCACTTTGTGCCTGTGGCTGTTGATGAGCTTCCTGCTTCCTGGACACACCTGTGAGGCTACAGTGACCGTGTCCCCAGCCTCCAGCCTTGGGAGGAGCCCAGGCAGGAAGGAGCTGGTGCTAGTCGTGAGCTGGGGTGGTAGGGGGGAGTACAGTTGGGGCACCTATCAGGTCTGGGACCTGTTCTGTTCCTAGCAGCAGAGCCGGCAGGCCTGAAGCCAGGCAGACAAACCCAGGATTTCATCCTCCACAATTGGCTCTTGAAACCCCAACTGGGATGATACTTCTCCTCCAGGCAGTGGGAGGGGGGATGCCAGGTCCTCTGGGCCCCTGGATTATACAGATGGGGCGGGGCTCTGGGCAAGAGGCCACCCTGGGGGCCCCTCCTCATTCTAACCCTTCCTTGGATACCATCTCCCTCAGGGAGCCTGTCCTGATCACTTTGGGGTAGCTGTGAGTGGACTTGGCTGCTAAATCAGAGGCTCAGCTCCAATGCTTCTGGAGTACAAGCTCCTAAGAGGGGCCCCCGGCAGCAGCGGTGGCAGCGCTGATTCCACGGGGGATGCCAAGGACCACACCCACATTTTCCAGTTTGGTGAGTTTAAGGTTTTTTGTTTGTTTTTTATGGGAAGGGGATGGGTCACTCATCTCCCCTCCACTAGAGAGGAACCAGGGCCCATACCAACTAGTAGTCCCTGAACAACTGGGTGAAACGGGCACATCGGCAACATTCATTGTACACCTACTGCGTGCAAGGCCCTTGTTCTCAGCTCTTGGGATTGAAAGATAAAATCCACAAAAGCTCAGGGTGTGCCTTTGGAGAGAGGGTCGCCTGTGAAGTTGTTACTCCTGATCCTCTGATGGCTGGAGAGGAGCTACTGCTGTATTAGGAAATGGCCTCTCATTTGCCTTGTGTTTTGAGGTAGTTCCCTTGACTTCTCTGGAATCCTCATTGATCCACCTGTGAAATGGGACTGAGAATCCAAACTCAGCGTCCCTCGGATTGCTGTGTGACCTCATGCAGGTCCTTTCCTGGCTCTGAGCCTTGTTTTCTTCATCTGTAAGATGGGGGAGCGGGGGGGGTGAGATGTGATGATATGTAAGATCTTCCACTTCTGACATTCTGTTCCCAGGCCCTTCAGGCTTGTATAAGAGTATAAGTTCAGCCCCAGGGAACAGGCTGCCCTGCTGGCTTGTTGGGAGGGCTGGTTGACCAGTCAAGATGGACAGATAGATGTACTTGACAAGCGTGGGCCTTGTAGAAAGCCCCTCCCTGCATTGGCTGGGGCTGGAGCCAAGGCTGAAGGGAGCTGTCCTACTGGACAATGATGAGAGATGAGCAGGCAGAGGGCAAATGGATTCATGCCAGATCTTTGAACACACATCCAAGTCTCTCAGCATTAAGACCTTGGGCTGGTGATCAAGCAGCCAGAGCTAGAAATGGCACACTAGGGACTGGATCAGAGGTGGGAGGACCCTGTGGTCCTTGGCTTTTGAGGGCAGGATATGAGGAGCCAATCCTTCCTACTCTAATAGTCTAAGGGTTTTCTCTGAGGGAGCAGCAGAAGTGGAGATGAGATAAGGACTTCATAGCAGGTAAGACTTACAACCTGAAGCCCTCTAACTAGGTACATAAAGGAGGCAACGGAAACATGTAGGGGAAATTACTTCCCTGGGAGAGGGAGATTCCCATTTGGCTAAGAAAGAAGGGATGGAAAAAATGGGTTATCAAATCCACCCAAGAGGTACTGGGTATTTTTGTTTCAGTTTTTGGTTTCTAGATCTCTATCTCTGTCTGGGCCTCAACTTCCACATTTATGAAATGTTGGCGCTAGGCAGGAGAGTCTAAAATGATTCCAGCTCTGACAATCTATGTTCTCACATTCTGGGCTCTCGGGCTTTTAGCTTGTAATCTATGCTCTATTTTATCATCCTGTATCCATCCTCTTCCTGCTCTGACGCTGTGCTCTGTGTTCTAAATTCGTGCCTGCTGCGATGTTCTATGTTCTGTGTTCCAAGGTCCCTTCTACCTCTCCATTCTGTGTTCTATGTTCAAAGATTGCTTCCTGCAGTGTAGTCTATGTTTATGCCTTTTCACTTCCAACATCGTGTATTCTAATGTCCTGTCCAACTCGAACATTCTAAGTCCCCTGTTCTAAGGTTCCTTCCAGCTTTAACATTCTAGCTTCCATTTTCAAACATTCTAAGTTCAAGGATTCCTTCCATCCCTAATATTTTATGTTCAAAGTTCTCAAATTGTCTCCCATGATGACAGTCTATTATGTAGATCCCTGATAGCTCTGCTATGTGTTCTCTCGTCTGCCCTAAGCTCCACCCCTCCAGTCCGTTCCTCACCTATGATCCAGGGGAATGAGCATGCCAGATGGGGTGGGCATAGGCAAGGGCCAGGGTTTTGGAAGGCCTAGAAAGAGTGCTAAGGGAGTAGAGGTATGTCCCTTAGGGGAGAGAAGCTGCCTTGGGAGCTCTTTTCCTGGGAGTATAAGCCCCTGAAACCTGAGTCCCCAGGGTTGTGCATGAATACCAAGTAAACAGGGAAAAGAAGAAGGGAGCCCGGTAGGAATCAAGTCAAGAAGTATTTATAAAGTGCCTCCTATGTTCTAGGCACTGTGATAAGCACTGATACAGGGTAAATAGCTCCAGTCTTGTAATTAGGAGGCCTACTTCTAGTCCCCTGACTCACTTTGTGATCTTGATCAAATCCCTATCTCTCTCTGGGCCTCAGTGTCCTCGTCTGTGAAATGGTATAGTGGATAGAGAACTGGGTTTGGAGATGGAGGACCTAGATTCAAATCTCCCTCTTCCACTTACTACCTCTGTGACTTTGGGCAAGGAACAACTTCTCTGAGCCTCAGTTTCTCCATCTGTAAAAAGGGTGGAATTGGCTAGGTAGCCTTTAAGTTCCCTTCTTGCTCTAAATCTAGGGTCTCTAAGCATCCTTCCAGTTCTCACCTCTATGACTTTCCTATGGACTAAATGTGCTGGGGCTTAGGTGACTGGGTCACCACTGTCCTCACCCTCTCCAAATTCCCAGATAGGTCAGGTCCCTCAGCACATATTAATGTTGTCTGATCCCCAGGATTCAGGGATTATGAGGTAGCTCACACTGGGTCGAGCTGACAGTTTGCCTTTCCTGGAAGTCAGAGGATCTGCCCAATGAGAAGAGGAGGGATGTCAATTATTCACAAGGGGGAAGAAAAATGAGCCACCAAGCTGGCTGAGCGGGATTCCATCCCCTTACCTGTTCTCGGCACTTCCTGGAGGTGGCAGCCACTGACCAGCCTACATACCGTTTCTGCGACTTCTAGCTGGACTTCAGGTTGGGGAGGGGGACTTGCAAAGGCTACCTTTAATCCTGCCGCCTAAGGGACACACAGCCTTACCTTTAGGGATCCCCTCTTCCTAGTCCAGGGCAAGGAGGCATGGAAATGTCTTAAAGGAGCCCCTATTCTGAGGGGGAAAGCATGGTCCTGTGCTCGGGGAGCCCCTGAACTAAGGGAAATAGAGTCTTGCCCTAGAGCAGACTCCAGGCTAAGCAGGAGATAGATCGTCGGGTGTTCTCGTCCCCAGTGGGCACAGATGGAGCCACTGCCTGCTCCCAGGACAGCAAAAACATATTCCCACCACCTGCCCTGGGTCCGGTTCCTGGACTACAGCTGCAGCTGAAGGCTCAGGGTCAGGCTAGAATTGGGCTTGGGGACAGGGCTTTGGTGACAAGTGGCCCCTCTCCTTCCTGTCTCCAGTGCTGCCTGTGGGCCCAACACCTCCAGGACCATGTTTGATGGGGAGCCAGGCACAGGCCCAGCAGCATCCTCACGGAATGTGATACGCAGCTCCAGCATCAGCGGTGAGGTGTTTGGTGGTGGCGGGGAGCAGACCGGGGGCACAGCTGGGGCCAGCACTGCCAAGAAGCGCCGCAGCAGTCTGGGGGCCAAGATGGCGGCCATCGTGGGCTTGACCCAGAGAAGCCGGAGCTCCCTACAGCTACCCCAGCCAGGTAAGGAGACGGGTCTTGGGGCAGCTGAGGGCCAGTAGTGGCCAGGCGTCTGTACGGAGGCCTAGGCGAAACTAGAAGCTTGTGTGCGTGCTTGTGCATGTGTGTGTGTGTGTGTGTGTGTGTGTGTGTGTGTGTGTGTAAGAGAGAGAGAGTATATATGTGTGTGTATGAAAGAGAAAGAGAGAGTATATGTGTGTGTGTGTGAAAGAGAAAGAGAGAGAGTATAAGTGTGTGTGTGTGTGTGTGTGTGAAAGAGAGAGAGTATGTGTGTGTGTGTGTGTGTGTGTGAAAGAGAAAGAGAGTATATATGTGTGTGTATGAAAGAGAAAGAGAGAGTATATGTGTGTGTGTGAAAGAGAGAGAGAGAGAAAGGGAGAGAGAGAGAGAAAGAGAGAGAGAGAGAAAGAGAAAGGGAGAGAGAGAGAAAGAGAGAGAGAGTATATGTGTGTGTGTGTGAAAGAGAAAGAGAGAGAGTATATGTGTGTGTGTGTGTGTGTGAAAGAGAGAGAGTATGTGTGTGTGTGTGTGAAAGAGAAAGAGAGTATATATGTGTGTGTATGAAAGAGAAAGAGTATATATGTGTGTGTGTGACAGAGAGAGAGTATGTGTGTGTGTGTGTGTGTGTGTATGTGAAAGAGAGAGAGGGAGAAAGAGAGAGTGTATATATATATGTGTGTGTGTGTGTGTGTGTGTGTGTGTGTGTGTGTGTGGCATATCTGCCAATAAGCTTTGTGAGGGGAAACTCGCTCTGGGAAGCCCAGCACTGTGCATAAAGGCACAAAGGGTTTCGCAGTCATACAACACACAGACAAAAGCATAAATATCATTGCCTAAGAGGTCACCTACAGGGAGTCAGATACAGTCACACATATAACATAGGTGCAGTAGTTAGGTGCGCAACCATGTCCATATAGACTCGTGCATAATTTTTCAATCCATCAACCAATTAAAAGTCAAAAAGCGTTTTATTAAACGCCTCCAACATGCCAGACACTTTGCCGGGTGTTGGGTACACAAAGACAAAAGTGAAATGGCCCCTGCCTTCACGGAGGTCATATTCTGGATATGTGAGAGACATGTCCATACATTTTATATGCAGGCATATACAGCTACAAGGAGATTTTGGAAGGGAGGATACTAGCAGGTGGAAGGATTAGGAAGTCTCATGGAAAATGGAGCTGGAGCTGAATTTGGAAGGAAATTAGGGATTCTAAGGAGAAAAGGGGAGGAGGCAGTGCATTTCAGGCATGGGGGATGGCTAGTGACAGCTAGAACTCAGAGATGGCAAATGAAGCGGTGCATGAGGAATAGCCGGAAAGCTCATTTGACTAGACAGTGGAGCACATGAAAGGGCTGTGTAAACAAGGCTGGAAAGGTGGTTCGGGGCCAGCTTGGGAAGGCTGTAAGTATCTACCAGAGGTGTTTGTATTTGCTCCTGGAAGTAATAGGGGGCCAATAAAGTTTATTGAGGAAGGATGTGGTGGTGACATGGGCAGACTTGGGCAACTCCAGCTGTTCTCAGTAAGGTCAAGTCACCAAGCCCAGAGGAGTTGTGTCTTACTGGACTGAAAGGACTTATGGGTGTGGTTGCTGAACACCACTGGGGCTTCTTGAGAGACTGGGGAGAATGGGAGAGGAGTCTCTTAGGATGAACATAAGCAAATGTTCTGACTTTCAAAAGAGGAAAGAAGAGGGAACCTGACAATGCAATCTTTATTAGCTATCTCATGGGTTCATTGCGAATATCAAAGGAGTTAGAGATGTCAAATGCTTCATAACCTTAAAATGAAATATGAATGATAGCTATTGGTAGTGTCGTTGTTGGTAGAAGTAGTAGTACTCGGACAGCATAGACTTTTTTTTAACAGCACAGATTATTAAAGGGATGATTTGTGAGCATTTAGAAAGGCAAGCCATAATCACAAAGTCATCATGGATTCATCCAGAACAAGTCATGCCAGACCAAGTTCACTTCCTTTTTTTTTCTTTTAGACAATTGGGATTAAGTGACTTGCCCAGAGTCACACAGTTAGTAGGTGTCAAGTGTTTGGTCTGAGGCTGGATTTGAACTCAGGTCCTCCTGACTTCAGGGCCAGTGCTCTATCCACTGCACCTCCTAGCTGCCCCATCACTTCTTTTTTTGACAGGGTAGCTAGATGATAGGTCAGAGGAAAGATGTAAACATTGTACTCTTGGACTTAAGTGCTCAGCACATGGGGCACACATTAGGTGCTTAATAAGTGTTTTCTGGTTGAGTGAGTGATTGATTAAGCAAATCACTTGACAAAGTTTCTTGTGATATCTGTACTTGTGGGTACATATTAGAACTGTAATTTGGAACTAAACCCGGAGACTGGTGGTTAATGGATAAATGTCATCCTAGACAGAGGCTTAGCAGTATGCTACAGGGCTCTATTCTTGGCCCTGTTGTATTCAATATTTTTGTCACTATCCTAGATGAAGAAGTAGGTGATATGCTCGTCCAATTGACAGGTGACATGAAGCTTGGAGGGAAAGGTAACGAACACACTGGCAGAATTGGGATCATAAATGCTTGCATGAGGGTAAAATGATGGGTCATGTTTAATAAGATGGATTTTAATAAAGATAAGCCATTCACTCTGGGGGAAAAAAAAACACATAAATGTGGGAATGGGGCAGATATGGCCAGGCAGCCATTGGTATGAAAAAAGGTCTAGGGGTCTTAGCGGACTTCAAGCTCAGTGTAAGTCATGGCAGTGTAAGAGTCATGGCAGCCTGAACAATGAACATGATCTTCATCTGCATGAAAGGGGGAGCAGTGGCCAAAGGAAGGAAGATGATAGCTCCACTGTCTTCTGGTGTGATCAGACAACATCTGGCGTATTGTGTTCAGGCCTGGGCACCACATTTAAGGACAACATTGATAGGCTGGAGACAGTACAGAAAAAAAAATGACCAGGATGGGGAGGGGCCTAGAGTCTAGATGATAGGTGGAAAAGTTTAAAGAACCAGGTATGTTTAGCCTAGAGAAGATAAAGCTTAGGAAGGGATGTGGTCACCGTCTCCAAGTATCTGAGAGGCTGCCATGGAAGAGAGATTAGATTTATTCTCTTTCTGTGTCAGGCAGATACACATATCATAGACATACTCAGTCGGAGACAGATCAGTCCTAGATCCTTAGAGATAGCAGAGTCCTTAGACACCAACTAACTCAACCCCTTCATTCAACAGAGAAGGAAACTGAGGTCCAGAGATGAGGAATGGGTCTTCTTCAAGGTTACACAGTCAGTGAGTGAGTGGAAGAGCTGGGATTTGTCCACACGTTTGACAGCTCTGTGTCCAGAAAGCTCTGTCTCCTACATCAGTCACACATATGTCTTAGTCACATATAGCAACATAAAAGCTATAAATGTACACGATCACCCAGGATCACGTGCCCATACACATCACAGACACCCCACACACAATTCCTCTCTTTCTTCCTTCCTTTCTTTCTCTTACACACATACACACACCCATCACACTCCGAATCACTGCCACCCCCTGTTGGCTGCAGGTTTGTGACACCCCAGACGCCAGCTGGTTTTGTTTTAAAACCTCTTCTTGCTTATTTTTTCTCAGAATAGCAACACCTCCCCCAGCCAATCTCAAAATAGGCCGCCAGGAACTGGCGGGGGGAGGGGAAAAATAAGAGGGAGAGAATCGAGAAACTCCGGGGAAATGCTCCCCAAAGCTCCAGGTGGCTGTTGGAAAACTCCTTCCCACCTCCCTTAAAATGTATCTGTGAGAGGAGGGGAGCCAGCCTCACTAGGATTTCATCTTCCCTTCTGTGGGGCAGGAACTTTATAGAGCTTGGTTAGGGTGGCTTCGTAGAGTGGTTTGTTTGTCTCTTCATGCTTTCTCAGAGATATTGTGGTCAGAGGAATGATGGGGCTGGGCTGAGGTTAGGCCAGGGAATGTTGTCTGGGGACTCAGGACATAAGAGTGCAGGCTGTGTGTTTGCGGGTAAGGAACCAAGGAGTCAGGAAGCATGACTGTTAGTCAAGGAGCTGAAGTGTGAGGAGATGTTGAGGGCTGGGAAGATTGAGGTTTAGGGGAGTTGGGGCTAGATCAGGAGAGACGGAGGAATGGAGTTTGATAGACGTTAAGGAGGTTGTGAGAGGAAGCTGGGAAATAGGTTGAACGTAGTTGGAGTTTGAGGGGTTCCTGAGGAGGGGAGAAGCAATCAGGGAAAAAGAAGCCCCAGGCCCATAAGGTAGAGATGCATCAGTCAGCCAGTCAGTCAGTCAAGAAATGTTTATTAGGTGCCTACTATGTGCCAGGCACTATGCTAAGTGCTAGGCAAATTAAGACAAAAATAAAACAATCCTCATCCTCAAGGTGCTGCATCCTGGGGGGAAATGCTTGTGCACATGTACAAAAGAAACACAAGATAGGAAAGCACCACAAATTGGGAAGAAGGTAGGAAACCCTCATGTAGAACTGAGCTTTGAAGGAACTTGGGTACTCTAAGAGGTGGAGCAAGAAAGCATTCTAGGCTGGGGAGACAGGCTTTTCAAAGATGCAGAGTCAGGAAATGGAAGGTCTGGTATGAGAAGCAGCAAGATCAGAGAAGAAGTGAACAGTCCCTTTCGATCTGAATACTTCTTCTGGATTATAAGGTTCAATGCTGGGAACCACATATTTTTGTTTGTGTTTTTTGTTTGTTTGGTTGGGTTTTTTTGTTAGGCAATTGGAGGTGAAGTGACTTGCCCAGGGTCACACAGCTAGTAAATGTCAAGTGTCTGGCCTGAGATCAGATTTAAACTCAGGTCCTCCTCCTGACTCCAGGGCCAGTGCTCTATCCACTGTGCCATCTAGCTACCCCTTGGGTACCACATTTTAAGAAGGACTTTAGGGGTTCCAGAGTTTGGGAGCAGTAGGCTTTGGAGGAGTTGAGGTTTGAACCCCAGGAGTCAGGCTGAATTGCCAAGAGCAAGGATGGAGGTAGGCAGCAGCTCCAGCCACCTCTGGATGCA